TTAAAGTAAAATTAACAACAAAACAATGAAAATAACTCTACTGGGATATAAAAAATATTTTCTTTCTTGAATTTCTGGAACATTATAAAGTTCAGGAACTATTTTAACTTTGCTGAAGTTTCTTGTTTTTTATTGTCTTGCATCCTTCAAGTATATTTACTCTTTCTTACAAGCTCCTTAGGCACAAAGGAATTTTTGTTTTATTTATCCTCTTTCCTAAACCTACGATCCTTTAGTACATATATTATATTTTCAATAGAATTCAATAACTAACAATTTTATTTTTAAACTAAATACTCTTTAAGAATAGGGCCTAAGCCGGGGATATAGCTCAGCAGCATAAACACTTGCCCGGCAAGTGGAAGGTCCTGAGTTCAATTCCTGGTACCCCCACAAAAAAGAATAGGGTCTATGACAAGAAATGTAGATAATTGCCCAAGTCTTCATCTTACCCACACACAAAAAGCTGGAATTACAGCTGGAGAAAAAATTGTAATTAATAATTATCTTAGATGAAAAAGATGACAGTTATCAAAGAAATAAAAATGAAAGTAAACACTTGGGCATGTCACTTGGTACTTAGATAAGGCTCAGAAATATTGGTAAAATATTCCCTTTGCCAGGGGAATGTGAACACAGAAAGCCAAGGAATTAGGACCCTTCCCCTGTACTTTCCTTTCTTCCTTCCTTCAAAAAAGTGAGCACTTATGCCAGACATCAAACACTGAAATGAACAAGATAGAGCTCGTATCCTCAAGGAGCTCATGTTGTAGTGACAAAGACAGGTAATCACGATAGTCAGATACATAGACGAAGGTGTAAGCGCAGCTATCATTGAGATAATCTGTGGATTTCGAAGCACAGAGACTGAGACTTGGTTCAGATATGAACAGTCACAGAAGATCCAGGGAAGAAAGAGATTTTTCAGTCAAACAGTGGGTGACAAATGGTTGCAGGTAGCATGGCAGTGGTAGAAGTGAGGGTTCATGGGTAGCCAGGCAGAGAAGCCTATGAGGCTTTAGATATAAAAGTGAAGATCTTTAACAGTTTTGTACTTGAGTCTTTTATCTTTCAGTGCCTCAGAACAGCCCCTCTGTAAAGTACAGAGTTAATATCATCGGGCCCCAGCCCTACATCTTGACATAGCCCTTCATAAGTTATTGATGACTCAGATTCCAGCTTCTTTACTGTCTCTTCCCAATTCTGTTTGGCCAGTGTCTCAATTGTTTATTCTTCATACATGGAATTGAGAAAGGTTTAGTCAGTTGTCAAGGATGAGGCAAGACAACTGCTCGATGAATGCTGTGAAGCATGGTGCTTTTCATTACATAAATTAATGTGGAACACTCACCTATTTTGGGATATGACAGAATTTCATTTCAATTCTGTTGTTTCTCATGCAATATTACCACATTCCACTATTGAAAAAGAGGAAACCATTACTTTATATATATTTTTTAAATTCTTGTGAAGAAAGTAGCAAAACTTAAGACCTCTGTGGTCTCAGAGCACAGTGTTTGTATTCTCCTGATAATTAAAATTGACCTTATTCCTTATATTTACATCAGCCTTGGTTAAAAAGAAAATGATACAGTAGAATTCATCCTATGTTTTTGTTTTGTCTGTGCTATTGGGGATTGAACCCAGGGGTGCTCTACCACTGAGTTACATCCCCAGCCCTTTTTTCCCTTTCCTTTTATTTTGACAGTTTTGCTAAGTTGCTCTAGCAGACTTAAACTTGTGATCCTCCTGCCTCAGCCTCCCAAGTGCTGGAATTACGGGTGTGTGCCACTGCACCTGGCTTCACCTTGATTTTCAAAAAACAAGTGGACTACTAAGTGCAATATACTTTCAAAATTTGCCAATGTAAAATTATAGCTGTTTTTCAAATACATTCTGTTTTGCAGATAGTTTTTGCAGAGGTCTATGTTTCACACTCAGAAACATCTTTTCCTCTTCAGGCTTAGTGATTCTTTAGAAAGCTGCCTACTGTGCTTCCATAAAAGGCAACAAAAGATTTCTGATGGAACTTTTTCACAATGAATGAAGTGGGAAGTGAAATGGGCCAGAGGCACTAAGGACATAAAGAGCCAGAACATCAGTTTCAAAGTTAGAAGATTTTAATTTAAGTCTTAGTTTTTTCTTTACTCTCTTTCCTCCTCTGGACAACAGGACTAATAACAATTGCTTCTGAAAATATTTGAAGCCTGAGTCTTCTGAGGGGTATCCATCATCACAAGTATATGGTAATCCAATGTAATTATTCATAGTAATAAAATAATATTTCCCTAGAAAAGTGTGGACATTGATATTCCTAAAATTTCCCTCAGGAAATCCATTGCAGATGTTGGGTACTGGAATGGAAAAGCCTATCAGAAAAAGGACCGGAAGTAAATAAGTTTTAAATATCGCGTGATCTTCCTTACATGAAAACCTTGAAGTATAAACACAGAGCAATAAAAAGTAGATTATAGGAAATAGGGAGATCTTTTGCAAAGGAAAAGAGACCCTTCGGATGGAATCAGGAGAGAGGAAAGAGATTAAAGAAAAAGAAAGAAGATGAATTATCTACACATACCAACTCCCCATGGGAATGTCATTATTGTGTACTGCAAGTGCACACTCACAAGAAGTAAAAATTGAAAAAAGAAATACTTAAAAGAAGAAAAATGATCAAGAGTAAATTAAGTTGCAATTCAAAGTGAAAAATCATAGGTAATCCAATTAATAAGTTCATTTCACTACAAAATGATAGAGGTCTCACTTGGGGTGGCTTAATTTTTAACGTACTACCAGAAGGCCTCTGTGGCTAATAAACAACCTGGGTAAAACAAAGGCTAAAATTTCATGTAGTTCACTGCAGTATTTTTCACTGTAACCAAGTAGTATCTTTATTTGAAAAATGTATTTTCCTCTAAGCAGGAAAAAAAATGAACTTCTGACATTCAGATTGTTCTTTGGGTTTTCTGAACTGTATCATGAAATTAGGCGTTATGTACAATAAATCAGAAAGCATGCTAGCACATCTGTAACTGTCATACGACATTAGTAAGTCATTAGGAAATGGCATTTTACCTCAAGACATTATATTTTTATAAAAATATTTATGAAAGGATCTCTTTAATTTTTATTTTATAGCCCTTAACTATACGGCAATATGAAAGTATTTTGATGAGTAAAAAAGGGACTTACGGCCTAGTGCTGGCATATGATTTCAGTTGTGCAATGGCATCTGTGCCCGGGAACCCTTAGGTACGTACGCAACATACTTTACAAGTGGCCAGAAGGGTGGATAGCTGCTTCTTGCTGATAGCACTTTCCTCTAAATTAATAAGAGTGTGCAGGGCAGGGAATGATGACATTTTCATTTTGTCTTGAATGCTAATGGTTTATTTGAATCTTTGAGATAAACATTCATGCATTACTTGCATTAAACAAATCAAAACAACAACATGGGAAGGCAACCGACAGAAGGAGCCGTTTCCGCCTACCTGTCTCCTCCATGCTGTTTCCTGACAGCCCCTGGACTTGTGCAGTTCCTGCAAATGATGTCTTCTGAGTGTACATTAATCAAAATACGCCTACCTAGTAAGCAGTCTGAGAAGTACAGCTGAATTCAATTATGTTTGGAATGTATGACAGATGTTTTGATAGAGGAGTCAATGGACATGCTTGAGTTCAAGCTGTCTGAAATGGCGGAGGAGGTGCTTTGGGAATGTCATTCCCATTCCTGCTGGAATAACACGGCCATGGCAGGCACGATCTATCTTACTGAGCTGCTCTGCTGGACTAGAAATGGCCCTCACCTTTTCGAGCCTTTTTTTTTTAAAAAAACTGCTTGCTTCGTCTCTTAAAACCCAAAGATAACAGGAATATTTAACTGTTTGCTCACTAAGTGAAAACCAGTACTCTTTAAAAAGTTGGCTGATCTTCTACCTCTTAATTACTTTATGACAATAAGTCCAGACAAAGGGCCTGTCAGCAGATTTTATTTACAACCCTTGAAGGAAAAATCCTCTGGCTGTTTTCACTTCATATAGAAGATAAGTTTGAAAAAGGCAACATTTGGCAGTACTTCAGATGTGCACTGTCTGGTGGTGTTGATAACACAATTCTTTCTTTCGATTATGGTAGCATTTATAATGCTGTCTCATTCATGGAGACCATCCTGCCCCAACTGGCTACACTTTTCAACTGAACAGACGTAATTCATGCAATCACTTGAGCTGTTTACCCTTTTCCCCACTGTAAGTCTAACATCTGGCTATAGATTGATTTTATGTGGAACTGTATTGTTGGAAGATGTCATGCTCCACTTGGCAGTCCTGCAAATGTCTTTCATTCAAATAAAAGAAAGTCGTCTTACCTGAATGAAGAGCATGATTATGGATAATTCACTAAGATTTATCATATGTCTTAAAAGGAATGTCTAAGCTTCATGCAAATATAGAAGTAATCTGTAGATTTAAAATAAGCAGGGTTTTTTTTTTTTTTTCTTTTTGGCTAGGAGTCACATTCACATAATCCACAAGAGCTACCAAATAAAAATTGTGTGTGTAAAAGTCACATCTTATCTAAAATATCTCCCAAATAAAAAGGCACCCAGAGAGATAAAACCTACAGTTTTTTTTCCCTTTCTAGTAGCAGGGAAAAATCAATGTGACTTGATATTTCTAAATTATGTTCTTGAGCAGGTATGAACAGCATCCCAGAAATAATATAAGTTCAGAAGCCACGGAAAAGTCTATCAAAATTGCACAATGCAGCAGGTAAAAAGTCATCTGTGAACATATTTATAAAACAAACATGCTGGCTATCGTGTGGACTGATTCTCACAGACAATGCATCACATTCCAAGGCACAGCTGAGCAATACAACTAATGTAAGTAAGGCTTAAGGCTACACACTTTGAAAACAGACTACATCTATGGCCTATTTGCAAATGTAGTGAAAGAAAGACTGAGGAGGGCACAAATAAAATGAACAAAGCATTTACTCACTGTGTTAAAATTTGGAAAGAGCCCCACAGCAGAACTACTGTCCACTGGAAAAGACATAAATGGTTTGATATCCAGTGAAGGCTGCATCATCAGGGTAGGTGTGCGCACAAGAGCAGGAAGGGTGGAAGTGTGGCATGTACTGCCTGCCAAGAACAAAACAAAAATGAATTCAGTCTCTTGTTCACATCCATCTCCCTCCCAAATCTACAGTGCAGAGGCAAGACCACTGAGCTGCAACCTGCAAGCAAGTCACACTGGAAGGGTACGTGCGGCACAGGAGTAGAAAACACAGTGAAAAAGGATCTTCTTCCTCATTGCCCAAGACAGTGAGGCAGAACACTTCCCTATGGCTAGAGCCAAAGGCTGCTCAACCTTCGGGAGACTCACAGTACACAGATTCCACCAGCAGGTGGGGCACAAGGGGACTGGCCCCGTGTCCAACCTAGCGCCAAAACTGCAAGGGAGGAGAGGGGAGGGGCTTCCTGAAGCCAGATGCTCTTTACTATTCAGACTAAATAGCTAGTATGCATGTTTTATGTAAATCAGAGATAATTACAGGGTTTTTACAAGGGGAAGCAAACTTGGACTCTTACATTACTGTCTGCTATCAAAAAAATTATGATTCATTTTGTTTTCTTTAAAAATGAGCTGAAAGTTGCCCTTACTTTGACGGAAAATAGGTAGTCTAGACATTGGTTAGTTAGAAAACCAAGGAAGGTTGAGTAATACAGCCTGGCTGCAGACATGGTATTGGGGGACAGGTAATAAGCATTTGGACCTGGAATTCACATTTTTTTGGTCTGTCACTTTTATTTCTACTGAGTTTTGCATTGTTTTAGAAACTACCCTTTTTAGCAGTTATATTAGCTGTCATCTCATTAGATATCCCAGTAGCGCATGAGTAGGAGATTCAAAAATGCTCTTCAGTAAAAAGCATTCCTCTGTAGCCTACAGCTTCCATGTAAGTGAGGGTCAGTAGCTCCTGGGGCAGGTGACCCTCTGGGAGCAGGCTTTGGCACGGTTGTTGTTGTTGTTTTAGTGTGACAGCTTTATTGAGATATAATTCACATACAAGACAATTCACCCACTTGAGGTATAAAAATTCAATAATTTTTAGCATATTGTGCAACCATTACCACAACCGATTTTAGAATATTTTCATGACCTTTAAAAGAATTCCTGTGCCTATTAGCAGTCAGTCACTCCCCATTTTCTCTCAGTATTCCTAGCACCTGTCAACCACCCACCTATTTTCTGTCTCTATAGATTTGTCTACCCTGGACAGGTCATTTAAAATGAGTGAAATCACACAATCTATGGTTGCTTGTGACTGGCTTCTTTTATTTGATATGATGTTTTCAAAATGCATTCATATAGAATGTATCAGAATAGAGCATATGATTTATGCCTTTTCAAGGCTGAATAATAGTCTACTGTATAAATACTCCATCTTTTGCTTATTCTTTTATCAGCTGATGGAATTTTTGTTTGCATTTTTGGGTCTGATGGATAATGTTACTGTGAACATTACCATGAACATTCATTGACAAAGTTTTGTGTAGATTTGCATTTGCAGTTCTTTCAGATATGTGTCTGGGAGTGCGATTTCCGCACTTGTTGGGTCATATGGCAAAAATGTGGTTTAACCTTTTGAGGAACTGTCAGTCTGTTTTTGAAAGAGGCTAAACCCTTTTACATTTCCACCAATAGTTATAAGCATTCCAATTTCTTCTGGCCTGTCTGTATAGAATCACATAATAATTATATGCCTAAAATACCCTACTGACTTCAGGGAGAAATGAACAACATGAGAAAATGCTGCAACTATTAAAATTTCCACCAACCTCTTACACAGAATCCTCAAATCATTAAAACGCCTATTTCACTGATACTTTTTTAGTGATGAATTTCCTTAATAACTGGCTGCATCATATTTGAAATCACTCTACAAGATTATTGGTGATGGTGTTTAATGGACTGCTGCACCTCATTTACATTTATCGAAACAGGAAAACTGAAAGGATTTCTGAAGCATTTATCTGTAAGCATTTAGGTCAGCCCCATCCATTAGGAAATAGGGAGTTGTGTGTGGTAGAGAATCAGCCAAAAGTATAAATGGTACAATACTGTTTTATCCTCATATTATAGTCAGCTAAGTTAGGTGGAAATAGTGTAGGCAATCAGACAGGGCTGGGTCCTCGAGGAAGTCAGTGCAGAAGATGGGAAAGGTACTGTGGCTGGCGGTGCATCTGAAGAAAATTAAATCACAATGGCTAGACTTACATACTTCTCCAAGGGATAAACAGAAGTTTGAGGTTATTGGTATTACCCTTTTGAAATTTCCCATTATCTCATCCTCTCCCATCCACTATGACTAAAACTAAAACCACTAGACTAAAACTACTAAGAGTAAGACTAAAAACAAGACTAAAACTATAGATTATCGACCAAGGTTAATAATGTCATTCATATGCCCTTGCTGCAACTGGATCAATATTACCTGAGTGACTATACTTGTAATCTTCTGGGTGGATCAACAATTTTGTTTGTTTGTTTGTTTTGTTTTTTTGTTTGTTTTTGTTTTTCTCCCGGTAACAGGAATCGAACTCATGACCTTGCGCTTGCCAGGCAGGCGCTTTGCCGCTAAGCTAAATCTCCAGCTCCGGTGGATCATATTTTTGACCCATGTTGTACCTGCCTTGTGATTTTGCTGTATAAAACTTCCTTTGAGAAATGAGTTCATTGGCAACCCATTAGGGATCCCTCTAGTTGCTCGGGAGCTGCTCCTATTCCCCATTCCTTTTCTCCAACAAATTTTCCTACTCAATCTCCTTTCTTTCTTAGAGTTCATTCTTGGACTTTGGGGAACACGAACTCGAAATATCTGACATCTAGTATTTCCCCTGTATCACTGACACTTAAGTAAATACTCTGACTCAACTTGTTATTCACATGACTACCTTGCACTTAATTACACATTCCTCTTCTGATTAGGTAATGTTACATCTATGGCTAACTTCAGCACTTGTAGATCCAAGATGATGTATTGTAGTAATATATCAAATGTTGCAGAGGCACTTATTAAAACATTTACTTTAAAAGCTTTACTGTAACATCTTAGCTGAATTACAAACTAGAGATATTTCTTATATTAGATGGATGGTCTTTTATAATTTATTATTACTAGAAGTATTAAAAGTGTAAACTACAAAAAGTAAGTTATAGAGTCTTTCTGTTTAAGCTGCCTGTTGAACAGATTTGTAATTGTTTTGCCACTGTAGGTCTCCCAAAGGGAAGCAAAGTGCTTTCTCTAAACCCACAATGGTGGCTCTGATAACACTATGTAATACATGGCCCCAAGGGCCTGGCAAGACTCACTCTGTGCTAACAAAGCAAATAGAAGGCAACATCAACAAAGGTCAGAATGTACAATGATCCTCCTTACCCAATCAAATCTCTATGCTAATAAAGACAAGGCTTGAGAAGCACTTAGCCGCCACCATTCATTAGCATAAAAAACTTAGCAGCTGTTTACCATTTCATTAGCATTTTAATGACAGATAATTTGCCATGTTAAACTCAGATTGTTTTAAAGTGCTGGTGGATCTTCTGAATACATATAAACTATGCTTTTATTAATTCCCACCTCATCTTTGCTGTTTTCACTTTTAAAAACTACTTTTAAAAACCGCTTCACTAAGATTGATTGCTTCAAAGGAAGTTTTTGTAAATGGAAATGAATGGAGATAAAGTGCACTTTTTTGCACAGGTTATTTTATGCTTTGATCCTTTTGTCACCTTATTCTAGATTTTACTGTTGCTGCTGTTATTGCTGCTGGGAAGCCTTTCTCTTCACCTCCGGGTGCCTGGAAATCAGTGGGAGTTACAAGCTGAAATTTGGCCAAAATGCACTGCACCCTGCAAGAAAATGCTTAATTCTTCTAAAAGTCAAATTCTTGCTGAGGGGAAAAAAAAGGTTAGGCATATAAAAAGCAGGCATTTCAGTGTGAAAGTGTACCTTTTACATTGCTGTTCTCACGGAATAGGATTAACTTTTGTAGAACTATTTGGCAATATTATATAAGACACCTCCTGTATGTTGCTCTGATTGAAAACATAGGCTATAATCTGATACATACGACAGTGAATAAAGTCATAATAGGGCCTCATCTTATTTGGTAATAAGGCATTTTTATCACTTAATATACATATACTTATTAAACTTCTTCTACTAAAACATATGCACAAGCATCTGTACTTCAAATATCTGCCAGGATTTTCGTCCTAGAAATTCCTCATGCCCATTTACTTTCCTATATGAATGCAATTAACTCTCCTATAAATTTCATTTTGACACTAAAACATTTGGGACAAGAGGAAAATATCTCTTTACCCTCTGAAGTCTCACTGAAATAAACTGACAACAGACAGGATAACAGGAGAAGAAGCATACAAATTTACTAATGTGATAAGCTTGCTAGCCATTCAAAAGATGAAATTCAAAGGGTCAGATAGTTAAAGCTTAAATAACCTCCCAATGGGAGAGAAAAAAGGGAGAAGATGAGGCAATTTTACAGGGTTGTAAATGATTTTTAGGAGGGATGTGGATAACCCCCAAGAACAGACAATGGCTGGGACGAAGTTTTTCCCTGGACTGAGCAAGTTAGTAGCCACAGTTTATTAGAAGGTGAGGCGTGGAAATGAATTGCCAACAAAAGCTGTCTTATTACATGAGGCAGATAATCTCCAAGGTAATCCTTTGGAGCCATCCTCAGAGAAGTAGGGAAAAAAAGCCTGTCTGGGAATGGTGTCAACTTTCAGTCTCTTTTGTTCTCTGCTGGTTAATCTTTCCTGGTTATCTGATGAGATTCCTACAGAGGAAATGTAAGACAATTCTTTTTGAAGAAGTTTTCTCAGTCAGATGAAGGAATTTCAGAAAGAGTCCCTAGTGATCAAGAGGAGAAGCATGGCCAGCCAGAACTTGATTTTAAGTGAGCTTCTAACGCTTTCCAAACTCCTTTAACTCACAGTGTTCAGTATTTCAAAGCAACCATATTTTGGGGTATGGTTTTCTCAGTGCCAGTAAATGCAAATTATACTCATCTACTGTATGAAATCAATAATATATGAAAAAGACTCACTA